TTATTACTTATAGAAATAATTAAACTGCAGCTTTCAGCAATGATAACAGATACTATAACAAATACGATAATAATTATCACACACAGACTCGTACCCGGATATTTTTGCTGTAGTTAAATTAATTTCTAATGGGAAACCCATTTTTGAACTGCTTTAATTAAGAAAATAATGACTCAAGCCACAATACGGATGCTTAATATTTAAATTTACAATGCAATTCTGGTTAAAGCTAAAGTTTTTATTATTAAATTTAAAAACAAAGCATAAAATTAAAATTTGTATAACTAAGTTTAAAATTTAGGTTATTTTAAAAGAAAAACAACTACATTTTAATATGATTTTATTTTTTACATATACTATGTATAAGCAGTTATAGTATTTTACTATGTAAATAAGGGAAAATGTACTTTCTATGCAGTCGTTAGGCTAATATGTATGCTTAAGCATATGTTATGGAGCCTAGGCCCACAAGTTCCCACGTGCCAGATATCCGGCAAAATACATATGCTTAATTCGAAGAGTATGCCATTAAAAATATTTAGAATTTTCACCTGCCACATATTAGACTAGAAAGCAAATGCTTCGTAGCTATTTGGAACGTGTGAATAGACGATCAACATGCGAGAGAGTAAATTGAGTATGGAGCCAATGCTTATAGAGAGGGTCTCACTTTTGCTGAGTGTTTGCTAAGACTGTAAATTATAATATATAGTTGATGTATATATAGAAAACTGATAAATAGACTATAGATATTATATATGTTTGAGGTGGTTCATTAGACATTTCAGTTAGAATTATATATATATTATATACATATATACCACATATAGTTATCCGACTCATAATTAACATAGTATACTAAAATGTCGCATATGCCAAACGCCGTCGCCTTTTCGATTGTCTGCTGCGTGCCTCGAAAGGGGAGGCTGGGGCAGCCAAGTTAAAAGGCTGTCTTTGCGACACGGCGACACATGAATCACAATATGCTAAAGGGCTGACACTCTCTCCCGATCAATGCGGCTTCTGAATGAAGTTTTTTGTTTCTTCTTTATTTCGTTTCTGTGGGCTTGTTAAGGCCAGAGCCAAAGTTGCCTACTTTGCGGCAGCCGCCAAGTTGCCAAGTTGTCCGAGTTGTCCGAGTTGTTCAAGCTGTTCGAGTTGTCCGAGCTGCTGCTGCTGCTGCTGCTGCTGCAACCGGCGCAGTTGAAGCCACCAGCAGAGTCCCCCGTTGCGGTTGTCGTAAACAAAACGTTGCACGCTCCGCGCTCCACGGTCTGCAGTCAGTGCGGACGTTCAGTACTTGGACAGCACAGACAACAGACAGCAGACAGTGGACAGTGGACAGTGGTCGGAGAGACAGAGGGACAGTGGACTGGGCGACATACGATGGTCAGAGAGAAAGAGAGCGAGAGCGAGAGAGAGGGAGAGAGAGGGAGACAGCAGCTTTGGACAGAGGACCGCAATGTGGAATATGTGGCATTTTGCAAAGATGTTGACATTTTGCGCGCATAAAAATGCCAACTTACCGGCCACTGTATGTGTCCTATTTTAAAATCAGGGCCATGGCTAAGACGCTGCCCGGCTGAGCACAGAGCACAGAGCACAGAGCACAGGGGCTAAGCCAAAGCCAAAGCCAAAGCTAAAGCCGCATCGTCGTGGATCGTGAGCGCGCGCTTAGGCCAAAAGCAGACCAAAAGCAAAAGCCAAAGACCAGTTGGACAGGCGTACAGACCAGGACGGTATAATTTTGTGTAGCTGGCTAAAGTATTTAGCAGCAGCAGCAGCAGCAGCAGCTTGCGGCAGCAACAGCAACAGCGGCAGCCGCAACCGAATATCAAAAACGTAACGATGTCACCAGGAACCCTCAATAAATTATCCAGCTGAAGCTGAAGCTGAAGCTAAACCAGGGGCTCAGCCTGGGCTGGGGCCTTAGCTCTTGAGGTTTTGTGTCGGCATGGCCTTTTGGGCCGAAAGAGAGCTGAAACTAGAGCGCCTAGTTGGGGCCAAGGTAGCCTGGACTCCTGGCCTGGGCCTGGGCCTGGGCCTGAGCCTGGCCTGGCCTGGCCTATGGAGCCTAACAATTAGGCCGAGCTCTTGTTGGTAGGCAAAAGAGCAGACGGCAGACAGCCAGACGGCCGCCGAGAGACAATAGACCAAAAGTGTAGTGGGCAGCAATAAATTCAAACGGTAACAAATCGAGCCGAGGGGCCAAGACAACACGCACACACAGAGCCCAAGTCACAGTCGAGAGGCCGTAGATCAGGCGGGTCGGGCTCTCCCTAAGGGAGCGAACCTGGAGCAAAGCTTTGGCAATATTTAAACTTGTCTCGTTTGGCTGCTGCTGCTGCTGCTGCTGCTGCTTTTGCTTTGGTTCTGCTTGAATTCCTGGAAGCCGAATTACTTTGAAATGTGTCGATATGTCGCAACTTTTAAAAGTTATGCATAAAGGTCTGGGGCCCCCGAGCCGTAGCATACAGCTCCTGCTCCAGCTACAGCTACAGCTTCTTTGCTTACTCCACTGTCTGGCGACGGTGGCTCGGTGGCTCAGTGGCTTCGGCGGTGCGGCCTCCTTTGATAATACAATAGCTGCACGCGCCCAATTTACATTTATGTCCACTGACATTAAGGAGCGCAAAACGTTGCAGGCCAGCCATCCAGCCGGGAGCCTGGTCCAGTTTTCAGCCCAGCCCTCCCTGCCGCCCCCTACCCTTGAGCCCCTCCCGCAATCTGCATTCGCCATTCTTCGATTCTCGTTGGTGTCTGATATAAACGCAAAGTTTATACCTTTGTTTCCCTCTGCTTCGTCTCGTTTTATTTTATTTTATTTTATTTTTTTATTTTTTTATTATATTTTTTTCCCTTTGCGTACCGTGAAAATTGTCAACGTATTTAGCAGCGATTTTAAATATCATTATAAGGCGGACTCTGGCGACATTTTTGCAACTGTCGTACGTAATTTTCAACAGTAGCTCATAAACACAAAGAGAAACATGCTTAAGCGATTCCATCTCTAATTAGGCACTCTGATACCTGTGCAGGTAGCACCTTTCAGAAGAGATGCCGAATGTACGTACGTACATACATGTATATAAGTATATGTATATGTTAAGCAGCAATATCTGCTCGGCTCAGATACTTACATATATGTGGCAGCTCTTATTATTTTAGTGAACATTTTCAGTTGTGTATAAAATACTTACTTATGCTATTATTTAATGATAATATTGTATGTATGTACTACTTATTATTGTTGTTTAATTAATGATAAACTATCTTATATATGGTCTAGGTTTATAAATGTTTAGTTTAAAGTCATAGAGTTGCATTGAAGAGATTGTTGTAGGAGCAAGTTAATTTATTTAATTCATATTCTTCTGCTCTATTTCCTTGTTCTCTTCTGCAAGGCTTCCAATACATTCTCCTACTTACTACTCTTGTTACTCCTCTTTCACTGCTATTTCATCCTTCCTAAGCCGAAAATTCAGCAGTTATATAGGTATGTATAGTAATCTATTCTTCTACCTTTAGTTAATTTCCGATAGTTCTTCTTCTTCTGCTCACTCTTGGAATACTCGGACTGCCTTCTTGTCCTCTCATATTTATTATTAGTTCATGAGTGGCAAACAAATGAAATTCCAAAGTGAAATGCTTGAATTGTGTTGGGTGACATTCGAGAAGTGAAGAACTTCTGGGGGCGCTCGGTGTATGTCTCCGAAGCAGAACCCTCAACCGAATTGATGCCGAATGGATTCCTTTTGAGCTATATATTTTATATGATAAGTAAAGTCAGGCAGATTCTAATATACATTCATATATATACATACATTTATACATATATACATGAGGCGCAATATTAAATTATAATACTTAAAAATCAAACACAATATAAGTTATGAACAGTTTGTTAGTTATCATTCCTGATTTTGAGAAATTTAATTTTAAGAAAATAAAAATATATACATATATATGTATTATAAATATAAATAATCAAAGAATATTTTCCATCTAGGTTTACTAATATTTATTTTCCACATAAATACCATATATTTTAATATTTTGAATAAATTATAATCTCTTCATCATCTCTTCTAATTGCAGTGCTAAAAAGTATCCTCACGTGTCCCGGACGCCGGAGTATAGCCACTCGACCGTGGGCAGCGATTATCCGGAGCACGGTGTCTACTTGTCCGACGGCCGGCTGCTGCACGAGAGTCCCAGCGAGAGCATCTACCATGTGAGGCAGGGCAGCGAGCACTCCTCGCCCAGCTTACACTCTCCAGCCATACAGAGCGCCGGCTACGACAACGAGCACTCGATGAACGAGGCGGCGCTCTCGGTGCACAGTCACAGCCACTCGCCAATGGTGTCCAGTGCGTATAGTGTGGGCGGCGGTGGTGGCGGCGCAGCCACATCCTCACTGATCAACAGCAATATACCGCTGCTGGGTGGCGGTGGGAGCTCGGTGCTGAACAAGTTCTTGTCGCATCCGCATGCCGGAATGGACGAATGCGGCGCAGCGCCGCTGGAGCCGGCGTCCATGTGGAGCTATGACTACAAGGGCGACATATGTGCCTCCAATTGTGGCTACCTGGATCGGCACAAGGCCTTGGCCAGCGATCTGAAGTACAGGCCAGGCGGCAATCAGTCAAAAAGTGCCAAAGAGTCGCGCATTCGCCGGCCGATGAACGCGTTCATGGTCTGGGCCAAGATCGAGCGCAAGAAGCTGGCCGACGAGAATCCCGATCTGCACAATGCCGATCTCAGCAAGATGTTGGGTAAGTGGGCTCGCACATCTTCCAGCTCCAGGGTCTAATATCTGGTTTTCGGCAGGCAAAAAGTGGCGCTCCCTGACGCCGCAGGATCGTCGACCGTATGTGGAGGAGGCGGAACGTTTGCGCGTCATTCACATGACCGAGCACCCGAACTACAAATATCGGCCCAGGCGGCGGAAGCAATCGAAGCTGCGCACCCTGCAGCCGGGCAAGGAGCAGCAGGCAGACGCTGCCGCACAGACGGCGGCCGGCGGAGCCAAGAGCACGCCCAAGCTATCGTCGCCACCGTTGGCGACAGCCACCAGCGGCAGCTACAACACGCCCACCGACGACAGCCGCAACTCCACGCCCCAAAATGTGGGCGGGCTGTACGAGCAGCCACTGAAGCCGAGCTACTCGCCCAGCTCGGTGGACTGCTACAGCAATGCGGATAGCACGGAGCAAATCGAGTCTCTGAATGCCAGCTGCAATGAATCCTCCCCAGTCGGCAATGTCACCAACGTCTCCAGCTATGACAGCTCGCTGCTGCTCAAGAAGCTGACGAAGCCGTCGCCGGCGTCGTCCAGTCGAGCGGCCAAGCAACGCAGTGAGAAGCAAGCGAAGCTGGACGACAAGTCCAAGCAGCAGCAGCARCAACAGCAGCAGCAGCAGACCAGCCTGTACGCCTCCTATCCGCTGAGCAGCTCCGTGGCCGTGGTGGCGGCGCGTGGCATGTACGTGACGTGCAACAATCGCGGCCTGCTGGACCATGGGCACTCGGTGAAGGGCACCTTTTATCCGCCCGTGTCCAGTGCTGACGACGATGCCGGCAGCAGCATCACCACCATGCGCCAGCCGCACTGCAGCACCAGCTCCAGCCTGTGCACTACCATATCCAGCGCCAGTGCCAATGAGCTGAACAGCTACACGGTGGCCATGGCCGAGAGCAACTGCAGCAGTGGCGGCGGCGGCGGCGGTGGCGCCAGCGTCGGCAGCCTGCGACTCAGCATGAACGATCTGGGCGCCGTGTCCAATGATTACCTGTCCAGTGTGAATGCCAATGCGTACGGCATGCAGTACGAGGACTTTCTGCGCTACCAGACCAACGACCTGGACTACGATCAGCTGAAGGAGACGACGGCAGCGACAACGCCGACGACGTCCGACAACGGGGCACAGAAGTGCGCCAAGTATCCGGACACCAATCACAACTATGACGACTACGAGGCGGAGGCCTATAACAATGCCATGCTGCTAACGGCGCCGGGGCCACCGCACAGTGGAGCCACTACCGCCAGCTACTACACACAGCTGCCCTATTCGCTGGCCAGCGGCGCATGCACCGCCTTTCCCCTGCAGCTGGCGGTGCCCTTCCAGCAGACATCGGCCGCTGGCGGCGCAGCTGCCTATGGACAGCCGATGCAGAGCAGCTACCTGCACTACGGCAACTACTATGAGGCCGCCAATGGAGCGGGTGCTCAACTGCTGCCGCAGCAGGCGCCAGCTGTAACGCCGCCAGGCACGGCTATGCAGCAGCAGCAGCAGCAGCATCATCATCATCATCCCCATGCCCATCATCATCATCCTCATCATCACTTTGCGGCCAATGGCGGCAGCTCATCTCCTGGCATGGTGGGCGATATGCTCTTTGAGCATCAACAGCAGCAGCAGCAACAGCAACAACAGCAGCAACAGCAGCAGCAGCAGCAACATCAACAACAGCAACAGCAGCAGCAACAACTTCAACAACAGCAGCAACAGCTGCATCCGCGCAAGGACGATGAGATTAGCAATATCCTGGCGGGTGTGCGCAAGACCTGCTACAGTAATTAATTAACGGCGGCAGCTCACAGGATCCGCCTGCTCTGAAATTTGTTATATTTGAATGTAGAGTTTAGCGCTTGGTTAACGGTACGCATAAGTATTGCTCCCCCTACCTACCCCTGCCTACGTCCCAATTTCCTTCTTTACAAAATGTACTATATTTAGAGTTTTTCTATTATTAATCTATCATATGAGATATGTTAAACTTAAGTTAGTTTGCATTGAAATAAAATCAAATTCGCTATGAAAATATATCACGTTTTTATGTATGTATGTGTATGTTTATGCATGTATGGCTCTTGTACCAGAAAAGATAAGGACTTTTGTGTTCATAAAAGTACAGCATATAGAATTATATGCGTATTATATTTCATTTAAGAACCTTATAAAAATATCTAAGCTGAAACAATATTTTGTGCAAATATTTGTTGGTTTGGTAATTAAATATATTATTTGCGCATTAAATGACAATTTAGTACCAAACAACAGGCAATTGAATTTTGTACCATTTCGTAGCAGCAATGTGTACCTTTTGTTATCGAATTAATTGTGGCACCAATGTGTACCTAAACTTTTAACATAAGCTCCACTTACGTTGGTACTGGTTCCCTTATGAACTGTTTGGTACACTTTTTGCTTGCTAGGGTTTGTGTCTTTGATAAATTACGATGATTCGCATTGATTGCAAATAAAAAGCGAGTCTAACGAATATATAAATTAAATGTAAATCTAATCACAAACTAAATTTATTTAAAAAATCAAACGATCAATAATAAGGCACATTGGCCATTATTAAAAACATTTAATCAAAATTAAAACGTTGTTAAATATATTCAAAATTCAAAAGAAAACAAAAAAGGTACATTTGCATTGCACGAAATATTTGCTACGCATCGAATGTTATCCAATTGGGACCACCTGACTCTTGTGACACCAATATACACAGCATCTGCCAGTGAGGCTGGCGACTGCGCAGTGCGTCCTGTGAGCAGTTTGCTGGGGGGGGCCAAAGAGGCAAAGAATTTTTCTTTTCTTGCTGTGCGCTGCTGAAGGGCTAAAGGATTGCCGTTTAAACGTTACATAAAATTTCCATAATAATTTCTGATTTGTTTTTTCAAATAATTCCACATAATTCGGGTCGAGCTATTGAGGCGATGCACTGCACCAATTCGAGTTCGAGTTAAGCTAAGTGAGCCAAAGATGTGTAAAACTCAGATAAGAGCATTCGCATAGGGCGCCATTTGTGCGCTGCATAAGAAAATTGTTAGTGTAAAGAGAAAAATTCCATCAACAAAATTTGCTAATTGAAAATTCTGCTTCGCTTTTATTCACACTCACACACACACACACATATATGTATTAATGTATATAGAAATATTTGTTTAAATGTGTCTTAAGTTAAGTGCATAATCAGTAGCCCAACGGCAGCAATTCGACAACATTTGAGAATTCAGCAAAATCGATAAGCTTCAGCATCAGCATCAGCATCCGCACTATTTGATAGCCACAGCAGGGGGGCCGCCGTCACCCAGCCAGAAGGCAACTAACCAACCACCCACCACCAGCAGCACCACCACCAACAACATTCGCATAAGCCACCCCACCTGATATAGTAGTATTTGTCGCAATCATGTCATTCATAACAAAATTGAAGGCGACTCCATTGCCGCCATTGAAGAATATACTCAATGTGGCCATCCAAACGGCCAGACAGCAAATTCCAGAGCGCAAGGATTACCAGCAGCCACCCGGCGCGAGCGGCAGCCATCCACATCTGCAACAGCAGCACCAGCAGCAGGGTCAAGGTCACGGCATGTTTGCGCCAGGTGATGCCAATGGCGATGGCAGCGATCAGCCCACAGAGATGAGCTCGAATCCCTTTCGCAATGCCGGCAGCTGGTCAAATGAGGATGGGGAAGGGGACTACAAAAACGAATACCAGAGCACATCCTTTGTGGGCAACGATTACGATGGCAGGTATCAGCAGACAGATGGATTCAGGTGCGTAGCAGACATTAATGTCACTATGATGCAGTTCCTCAGCTTCAAATCACTTTTGCAGGCAGGGCAGCATCGCCTCGGAGGGCAGCTCGTTTGTGTGCGAGGGTGAGGGTGGCGGCGGCTCCAAGATCGACGAGTTCCAAGCGGCCTGGAATGTGACAAACGCCATCCAGGGCATGTTCATCGTATCGCTGCCATTCGCAGTGCTCCACGGCGGCTATTGGGCCATCATCGCTATGGTGGGCATTGCGCACATCTGTTGCTACACGGGCAAGGTGCTCGTGCAGTGCCTCTACGAGCCGGATCCCAGCACGGGTCAGCTGGTGCGCGTACGGGATAGCTATGTGGCCATTGCCAAGGTATGCTTCGGTCCCAAGCTGGGCGCACGAGCCGTCAGCATTGCCCAGCTAATCGAGCTGCTGATGACCTGCATCTTGTATGTGGTCGTCTGTGGGGATCTGCTGGCTGGCACGTATCCTCAGGGCTCGTTCGATTCGCGCTCCTGGATGCTCTTCGTGGGCATTTTCCTGCTGCCCATGGGCTTCCTCAAGTCCCTCAAAATGGTGTCGACGCTCTCCTTCTGGTGCACCATGTCACATATTGTGATAAACGCCGTCATCCTGGGCTATTGCCTGCTGCAGATTGGCGATTGGGGCTGGTCAAAGGTGCGCTGGAGCATTGACATGGAGAACTTTCCCATTTCACTGGGCGTCATTGTCTTCTCGTACACCTCGCAGATATTCTTGCCCACGCTCGAGGGCAACATGATAGATCGCTCCAAGTTCAACTGGATGCTGGACTGGTCCCACATAGCCGCTGCGATATTCAAGGCTGGCTTCGGCTACATCTGCTTTCTCACCTTCCAGAATGACACGCAGCAGGTGATAACCAATAATCTGCACTCGCAGGGCTTCAAGGGCATGGTCAACTTCTTTCTGGTCATCAAGGCCATCCTCAGCTATCCATTGCCATATTATGCTGCCTGCGAGCTGCTCGAGCGCAACTTCTTCCGTGGCCCGCCAAAGACCAAGTTTCCGACCATCTGGAATCTGGATGGTGAGCTGAAAGTGTGGGGCCTGGGCTTCCGAGTGGGCGTCATTGTGTCCACCATACTTATGGCCATATTCATACCACACTTTTCGATACTGATGGGCTTCATTGGCAGCTTCACGGGCACCATGCTGAGTTTTATTTGGCCCTGTTACTTCCACATCAAGATCAAGGGCCATTTGCTAGACCAAAAGGAGATAGCGAAGGACTACGTCATCATTGCGCTGGGCGTGCTCTTTGGTGTTATAGGCATCTATGATTCGGGCAATGCTCTAATCAATGCATTCGAAATTGGTCTTCCATTTTAAAACAATTGTTACAAAACGAAACGTAAGCGAAAACAAATTTATAGTTTAGTTAACGAAAGCTCTAATCAAACTACCAATAACAAAGTATATATATGTATTTCTGTATATATACAGTTATACATTTGTTGGATTCGTTTGGGCTGCATTCATGGCATGTCTTCCAAACTAACTAAATTTGTCAAATGCAGTCCATGACGGATATCAAGAAACTTAGTCTATAAGAAATGAAACGCAAGTCTTCCAAAACAAATGCGAACAAAATGTCTTCCAAACATGATATATATACAAACAAAAATATATATATAAATATATATTTAAAAAAAAATCCTAAGCTAATTTAAGTAACGAATATTGTATTATTGTATGAACGCGTATATAGAGGAAAATGAAATAATATAACTTCCAAAACGAACACAATAAACCATTATACAAAATTGAAATGTATGTAAATCTATTGTTCCAAAATAGATAGAACTCATTGATTATTTATACCAGCATATAGTATATATATATACATATAGTTGAAACGCGTTTTTTTAAACGATATTAATTATACAGTTACTGTACTTATACATACGATAATAGCCTTTAAAAACGACACTAGCATCTTTTAAAAATTCTCAATAAAAAACCATCATCTCACGTTGAACAAATATCCCGATCCCAAGCGAATGTTTAATGTAATGAAAAATGCCTTTTGAATATTTTTCAAAAATGATATGCTTTATTTGTTGTTAATCTTATAATTCAGTATGTTTTTAGTTTTCTTCAGGTAAGTAGATATATTGTATAAAAAAATATTGTCATGGAATCTTAGGCACTATGTGATATGATATGAAGACAAGACTTGACAAGACAAGAAACGTACGAGCATAAATTTGTGTGTTAATTATCAGTTAGTTGGAGGTTTTGTAAAATTTATGATCGTGCGTACTTCTGGTAGGCTGGAATGCACCTTGTTTAATCTTATGAACAGCACAGGCTGTTGCTGGGGCAGTTATATATTCGCTCTTATAGAGACTCGAGCCAGTGAACTTGTCGCTGCCTAGACTAATCGATGACTGATTACTGCGTCTTGTGGTCACAATACGTTCGCTCTGGCCATGGACATTGTAGGCTGAAGAGGAGGAGGAGGAGGCGAAGTCGATGCCACTGGACAAATGTTGGTTAGCACCGTTGCGATGACGCGTAACATGAGTCTGCGACTGCGATTGCGATGGAAAATCAACTCCGCTCGATGCATTTGTTCGTGTGAGTGTCGATCTCTCCAGGTTCGATCGATTTGTATCGCCGCCAGATATAATACGTGACATGGACGAGGAAGACGTAGATGTTTTCACATGATGCTCCTTGTTTTCCTTGTGCACGCTGCAACTGCGACGATCCGTGGAGTAGCTAGTACTCAAATCCGATTCCCTGTTCTGGCGGTGGATGCTACTGTAGCTCTGGCGATCAGGTGAATGGGCGCTGCAGCTCGGCGATTGCTCGTGTAGATTCAGAATACTCTTGCGCTGCATTTTGCCATTGGAGGTCAGACTGCTGCTGAGTGGATTTGACTCGGTTGACACGTTCTTTCGATGGAAGATTGAGTTGGAAACATCCGCTTCCGAAGAGAACTCACTCTTCCTGTGATGGAAGTGCTTCGACGAACTGCCACTCACATTGTTAGTCACCGAACTGTTGTCAACCATACGAGATGTAGATCCTCCATTGATATTATTTGAGGCTGGACTTCCCGAGATTGTGCGAGAATTGGAACCTACTGATTCGTTGACCTTCGTTGTGACTAGTTTGCCGCCTATTATACGGGTTGTTGTGCCTCCAGTCTCAGTTACATTACGAGTGCTGCGCGTTTCAGCAACATTCGTTGTCACTAATTTACCAGAGACAATGCGAGTGGTTGAACCTCTAGTCTCGTTTACATTCTTACTAGTTGTGCTGCTCGAGACGATGTGGGAGCTTCCAGCATCTCCCACGTTCCTGGTCACTTCTTTACCGGAGACTATACGAGTTGTCGAGCCTTCTGTGTCAGCCACATTGTTAATAGTTGTACGGCCAGTAGCTGCGGTAGATGTGGTATCTCCAGTTACAACTTTGCCGGAAACTATACGGGTTGTGGAGCCTCCCGTCTCTGTCACATTGTTGGTCACTGTCCTGCCTGTGACTATACGAGATGTTGAGCCTCCAGTTTCGGTGACATTGTTAGTAACTGTCCTATCTGAGACTGTTTTGGACGTTAAGCCTCCCGTTTGAGTCACATCTCGGTCATCCTGGTTAGTTCGCCTTGTCGTTGTTGATGTTTGAAGAGCTCTTGTATCATCCGTTGTTCCACGTATTTGCTCAGTTTTTACAGCTGTTTTTTCTAATACATTGAGATTTCGTTGCATCGATGTTGTTTCCTTGTGTACGTTCTGTGTGTTCTCAATATTTGTAGTAGTCGTGTTTTTGGACACATTCTCAATAACATTTATCTTAGCTGGCCGCTTCACATACTCAGTTTCCGGCTCCTTTTTCCCACGGCCCCCGATAACCGTTGTGACCTTCTTCGTAGAAACAATAATTAGACCATCGACTGGCTTTTGACTGTTGACATCCACTTGCTTCACTGCATCCTTGCCGGACACATAGTTCATCTGGTTGGTTGTCTTCAGAATGGAAGTATCATTACCTAAGGTGATGGTCGAGCTATTGTGCCTGTATTTCTGTGTACGCTGCACTCGGTCAACATTTGTTTTATTGGTTGTGGTTTTAAAATCATCTTTTCTAGTCACAGTCATAGGTCCTTCTAGCTTCAGATTATCCACCGGTCGCTTGGCAGGTTCTCTTTTAACACTCTCTAGCACCGTTGTGCTGTCAGTTTCAGTTCTATCTGTTCGCTTATAGAATTCACCTTCTGTTTTTAAGTTATCCTTGGGTTTCTTTTGGACTGGTCGTTCTGCTGGCTTGAATGTTGATTTTTCCGGGGTATAGAATTCTCCTTCCGGTTTTAAGTTATCCGTTGGTTTCACCTGTTCGGGTCTTCTGACGTGATGATACTCCTCTTTTTTAGTAAATATCATAGAACCCTCGGTTTTTAGGTTGTCTTTTCTTATAATTGTCTTCACTTTTTCAGCTGGCTTAAATGTGTCTTTTTCTGGAATATACATTTGACCTTCAGGCTTTAAGTTATCAACATATTTCTTAGGCTCAGGTCGATCAGCAGGCTGATATTTAATTTTTTCTGGTGTATACATAATACCATCAAGAGGCTTCAGATTATCCTGTGGTTTCTTCTGTTTAGGTCTCTCAACGGGCATAAACTTCGATTTTTCTGGAGTATAGAAATCACCTTCTGGTTTTAAGTTATCCTCTGGTCGAACTTGAGATGGCCGCTCTGCTGGGCGATACTTGGGCTTTTCAGGGCTATAGAAATCTCCTTCAGGCTTGAGATTATCCGTTGGCTTCACCTGTTCAGGACGAACAACATATTTATATTCCTCTCTTTCCACAAATGTCATCTCTCCTTCGGAATGCAAATTATCCTTTCTTACGACTCTTTCGGTCTTCTCTGCTGGCCGATAAATTTGTTTCTCAGGTGCGACGAATTCGCCTTCGGGCTTCAGATTATCCACTGGTTTCTTTTGGACTGGACGCTCTGCTGGTCTATATCCAGGCTTATCTGGAGTGTAGAAATCACCCTCTGGCTTCAAGTTGTCCTCTGGTCTGACTTGAGATGGTCGCTCACCAGGACGGTACTTCGGCTTCTCTGGGCTGTAGAACTCGCCTTCTGGCTTAAGATTATCTGTTGGCTTTACTTGTTCTGGACGTTCAGCAGGTCTGTATCCGGGTTTATCTGGAGTATAGAAATCACCCTCTGGCTTCAAGTTGTCCTCTGGTCTGACTTGAGATGGACGCTCACCAGGACGGTACTTCGGCTTCTCTGGGCTGTAGAACTCGCCTTCTGGTTTAAGATTNTGTTTTTAAGTTATCCTTGGGTTTCTTTTGGACTGGTCGTTCTGCTGGCTTGAATGTTGATTTTTCCGGGGTATAGAATTCTCCTTCCGGTTTTAAGTTATCCGTTGGTTTCACCTGTTCGGGTCTTCTGACGTGATGATACTCCTCTTTTTTAGTAAATATCATAGAACCCTCGGTTTTTAGGTTGTCTTTTCTTATAATTGTCTTCACTTTTTCAGCTGGCTTAAATGTGTCTTTTTCTGGAATATACATTTGACCTTCAGGCTTTAAGTTATCAACATATTTCTTAGGCTCAGGTCGATCAGCAGGCTGATATTTAATTTTTTCTGGTGTATACATAATACCATCAAGAGGCTTCAGATTATCCTGTGGTTTCTTCTGTTTAGGTCTCTCAACGGGCATAAACTTCGATTTTTCTGGAGTATAGAAATCACCTTCTGGTTTTAAGTTATCCTCTGGTCGAACTTGAGATGGCCGCTCTGCTGGGCGATACTTGGGCTTTTCAGGGCTATAGAAATCTCCTTCAGGCTTGAGATTATCCGTTGGCTTCACCTGTTCAGGACGAACAACATATTTATATTCCTCTCTTTCCACAAATGTCATCTCTCCTTCGGAATGCAAATTATCCTTTCTTACGACTCTTTCGGTCTTCTCTGCTGGCCGATAAATTTGTTTCTCAGGTGCGACGAATTCGCCTTCGGGCTTCAGATTATCCACTGGTTTCTTTTGGACTGGACGCTCTGCTGGTCTATATCCAGGCTTTTCTGGAGTGTAGAAATCACCCTCTGGCTTCAAGTTGTCCTCTGGCCTGACTTGAGATGGACGCTCACCAGGACGGTACTTCGGCTTTTCAGGACTATAGAACTCGCCTTCAGGCTTAAGATTATCTGTTGGTTTTACTTGTTCTGGACGCTCAGCCGGTCTGTATCCGGGTTTATCTGGAGTATAGAAATCCCCCTCTGGCTTTAAATTATCTCCTGGTCGTACTTGAGAAGGCCGTTCACCTGGCTGATATTTTGGCCTTTCAGGAGTGTAAAAATCACCTTCTGGCCGCAAATTGTCTTGTGGAATCTTTTGTACCGGACGATCGGCAGGTCTATATCCTGGTTTATCTGGAGTGTAGAACTGGCCCTCAGGTTTCAAGTTATCCTCCGGTCGCACTTGAGATGGACGTTCACCTGGACGATACTTTGGCTTTTCAGGACTATAAAATTCGCCTTCGGGCTTTAGATTATCCGTTGGCTTCACCTGCTCAGGGCGGACCACATATTGATATTGCTTCTTTTCCACAAAAGTCATTTCACCTTCAGTTCGCAGATTATCGTGCCTGATGATTCGTTCTGTTTTATCTGCTGGTCGGTACGCTGGTTTTTCGGGTGCGACAAATTCACCTTCGGGCTTGAGATTGTCAACAGGTTTCTTTTGAGTAGGACGCTCCGCGGGCTTGTAACCAGGCTTATCTGGAGTATAAAATTCGCCTTCAGGTCTCAAGTTATCTTCCGGCCTGACTTGCGATGGACGCTCAGCTGGGCGAAATTCAATTTTTTCTGGGGCATAAAAGTCGCCTTCCGGCTTTAAATTATCTGCGTGTCGTACTTGAGTTGGGCGATCGCCAGGCTGATATTTAGGTTTCTGAGGACTGAAGAATTCTCCTTCAGGCTTCAGATTATCTGCAGGCTTAACGTATCCAGGGCGAACGACATATTGATATTCCTCTTTTTCGACAAATGTCATTTCTCCGTCCATACGCAGATTATCAGTATGTATAATTTTTTCACGTCTTTCGCCTGGCTTGTAAGGCTCTTTTTCTGGAACTATAAACTCTCCCTCGGTCTTAAGATTGTCTTCGGGTTTCTTTATCACAATATAATCTACAAATATGTCTTCAGGTTTCTTAGGAATGTTATCATCTTTCTTGGACCAAGTGTTAGTACGTATCCTTGTATAAGTTTCGTCAACATTATCTATAAAAAGGAAAAAAGGAATATTCGTCAAACTTGTTCTACATCCAATTTTAAAGAACTTACCATCTATTTCAACAATTTCTGTGGACTTTGTGGTGCTGGTAGAGCAATGATGACGGCTGAAAGTGCAGTGCAATATGAGTATAATTTTCTAGACAGATAATAAAGCTATCTTACCCGCAAGTGCATATTTCACAGATACATTTCTCACTGTGTGTTGTTGTTCTGTCCTTGTCGACTCCACGCTAAATTTAATATTTTATTAATTATTAGGGTTGGGAATTAGAGTTAAATGTACTCACAGTTCTTGAATCGTTTAGGCGTTTCTTGTCGGTGCGCACATAATCGATTTCATCATAAATATTCTCCGTAATATTTTTGTGTTTCGATGTCTCGTTCAGATTCAATGTGATATTTTCATTGTTCTCCGATATGGATGTATTCTTCTCAATTTCCACAAACTCATCCACATAGATTGTTTTCTTGGGAGCCTCCACAATTTTCTCGATGACATCCGTGTGCACCTTCTCATCGAGGACGCGCCAGTCGTTAATGCTAGCATCGAATATCTGAAATATAATGAAGCATAATTAATAGAACGAATAGAAAACACCACTAGAAAAATCCAAAAGAAACACCCCAAGTCACTCTAGCTAGAAAATACACACTAGATATGTATGTACATATATATATATATATACACATATATGTATGTGGTGGCGCTTACCTTTGTCACCTCTGTTGTTGTCGTTATGTTTGCAACATCGGTGTTATCTTTTTCGATTTCACGAGCTATGTCATTCGGCACAAAAGCTTTCGAGTCCGTATACGATTTCTCGTCCACGACTGTCCACTTGCCCAGCTTGGTGTCGTACACCTTGGTGGTGTATGTTGTGGTCGTTGTATTGATGACATCATCAACTATTTCTGGGTAGCCGACATCATTGCTGCTATCCACTGTGCGCTCGTCCACCACGCGCCACCGATTGTTGCGCCTGTCGTATATCTTCTTCTTATATGTGATTTTGGTGGTGCCATCGGTGTCTTTGCTCACGTATCGCTCAAACGTGGGCACCTTCTTGTTGCTGCCATGTGGTGGGCTGCCCTCGCTGTACTCTGTCCAGGTCTTTGTCTTCACATCGTACACTTCTTTCTTGGACGAGGCCGTTGATTGTTTTGTGCTGCTCTGATTTGTTGTGCTTTCACGTCTATTGACCTCCTTACTGCTGCTCAGTTTGGTCTGCGATGACGTTGCCTTCTCCACATCAAAGTTAACAGCTGTTGTTGATATTGAGGAGGTGTTGTTGTTGCTGTTCTTGGTGCTACTGCTGCTGCTAGCCAGCTCATTCAACGTCGATGACGTCGCAATGTTTGTTGTGGTCGGAACCGGTTTACGTTGCGACGTCATCGATTTCGCCGTTGTTGTTGTTGTTGTTGTTGATGACGAATCAGCAGAGACACCCACAGCAGCTGTTCCAAGCACCGACTTTGGCACGCTCTGAGATTCGCTAGTGTTGGTGTTGATGTTCGTAGTGGTGCTGGTGCTGGTGCTGGTGTTAGTGTTGGTGTTGGCGTTGGCGTTGGTGTTGATGTTGATGTTTGTATTGGTGATCGTGTTCGTGTTGCTGCTATCGCTGACAACCTGTTCGGCCACATCAACGAATTTGCTGTTCGACAATGTGGATGATGTCATACCGGTAGCCGCTCTCTCGCTTGCAATGAGCGTTTCACTAGCATCGATCCGTTGCTGCTGCTGCTGCTGCTGCTGCTGCTGGCTGGAACTGGTTGTGGAAGACTCAAAGTAACTGGAGCTGCTCGCCTGCTGTCGGCTACTGGACACCTTTGATGTGGACGCATACATTTTGGATATGCTGCCACTGCTGGCAGAGCTAATGAGGCCAGCAGGAGCTGTGATTTCCACCACCTCAATAGGTACCGAGAATACCGGTTCCTTCTTTTCGCTCTCCAGCAGATCAATTGACGCAATGATCTTTTCGTCCGAGAAGTCCTTAAAGATTTTGGAACTGCTGCTGCTGCTAAACAGCTCCGATTGCTGTGTCTGTGACTGAGATTGCAATTGAGTTTTCTTCGCTGTGTACGAGCTGGAACTGTAGCTGGAGCCACCAGCTGCCAGCAGACTTTCACCTTCCTTCAGCAAGGTGTTGCTGCCGGAGCTGCGGCCGGTGGCGTCAGGCGGCGTCGCCCCATACGAGACAGATTCATGCTCCATTGACGACGAGCTGGTGTTGGTCGTTAGCGTTGCCGTCGCATTCGGTCCCAGTTTTTTGGTTAATTTGGTCGCCGARGCCGAGGCCGATGTGGTTGTGCTTGATGTGGCTGGCGGCTGCGACGTCGACTGCGACGACGACTGCGACACTTGTTTCTTTTTATTACTTTTTGATACCATTCTGTTGGCTTGATTTACACACAGATGAGGTAATCACTGACTATGTGGAATGAATATTGTGTTGCACCTTGCACTCTTGCTCTTGCCTTACTTATTTAGTGGCTTAACTTAGTATATTAGATTGCTGTTCGTTTGTATTTCGTTGTTTTTATTGATCACAATTATCGCTTCGTTTGGCACTACTAGAAGTATAAGTGGTATGTACCTAATTAGTGTTAATGTGTATGTGTGTTGTCACTTAATTTCCACCGGGAATGTCGAAATACTTATTTTTAAATAATGTATTATTATTCACGACAAACGCACACACACACACACACACACAGACAGAGGTATGTATGTATGCGAGAGCCACAGTTCAAGTTGAAAATGACAAACGGTGGCACTGGCGCACGCACACACACACATACACACACACGCACACAAGCACAAAGATACAAAGAGAGGGCGCAACGTAACGGGCGACAGTTGAAAGTGTGAACGCAAGCGGCGTAGCGGGAGCGTAAAAGCTTAACACGCACACACACACACACACAGAGAGAGAGAGACACAATCAAACAGAAACACTTAGAAATTGTAGAGATAGAGACGTTTTATTCGCTTGATGCTCAATTGGGCAGATTCGTGTGCATATTTCGTATTCGTGGGAGCACTTGAGATAGATCAACAACCGTCGCGAAGCACAACTCAAAACGTACTGATCGCCGCTGCGGTTGCCTGGAACCGCTTTCGGCCGTATCTGCTGTGCTCTGCCCGGCCAAAAAAGCGGCAGCGCAGCAGCAGCGGCTTGTGGGCTTTGCTCCATCGCGTTGGAAGCTTCGCACGCCTGCGTGCGAGCGAGCGAGAGGCAAACGGCGCTACGCTTCGCCTTCGCAAAAAGCCAGGCCAGATCGGAGCGTAGGTTGGCCATTCCAGCTATGYATGTATGCGAACAGACAGACAGATGCGTGAGTGTGTGTGTCTGTGTGTGAGTGTGTCTCTGCGGTTAGAGAGTAAAAATGCGTAGGCTATCCAAAGCTGAGACGGCACCTTCTTTATTTACTGCCACGCAATGAGTTCAATAAGCCAATAAAAACAATACGAAATCAACAGAATTTGCTCAATTCGAAAGTGGCCGCAAAGTGAACCAACACAAACAGCTGCTTGATGCTTGATGAGCGCTAGCGGCGTTTCTCACTTGATATTTTTACTCATTTTAGTTTTTTATTACAGCTAACACGTCTATGGGTGGTTATGGCCATCTCGTTCGCACGCCGGCTCGGGCTGGGCATCTCTATGAGGGCTTCAACTGTTTTCCAGAACGGGCCAAAACAAAATTAGCGCACAGACCAAAATTGGCCGGGTTAACAGTTGTCGTGTTTGTCAGACGGATGCACAATTAAAAAATATGTATATAACTAAATATGTATAGGTATATGTTTATACATATATTGGATATACATATGTATTGAGCTGCTGATTAGTCAGCTTTGCATTTACTTTAAATGTCTGGCTTTGTAGATACGTGGGCGCATCCGTGCCTATAAATTGAGATTGAGCTCAATAACAGCACAGCAGACTGACAATATTTCTACGTATAATATGCATTCGCTAGAATTGATGCTGAATTTTATTGCTCAATTGATTTATAACGGCCTTAGGTGGGTGTAACTCATAATTATGCTACAAGTTGTTGTGCCCATAAAAAGATCTTCTAGACTAATAATACCTATACATACAGATGTACAGATGTATATATACCATATTTCTATATTACTCTAGCAGAGAGAGAGAGAGAGAGAGAGAGTCCAGGTTGAAGTTTAACTAATTCGACCTCCAAAATGCAGCGTAGACAAAAGTCAAATCTTAACGAGAAAACTTAAATTCAATTGTTACTTAATTTTGCAGCGACTGTTAGCTCATGACGTCACCTGCCAAGACTCATGTTCATGCAAAGCTTGCGGAGCAATCAAAACTTGTTTGCCGAGACACACACACACACACATACTCACACAAAAAGCACACACACTGAAACCAAAATAGATATTAAAAAGAGCAAATATAAAAACAACAATTAAGTGGCAAACAAAAGTCGCACTGTGGGTACAAAAAACAAAAAAATAACCAAAACAAAAAATAAAATCATTTGAAATTCAAAGCACGCTGAATTCGCTGCGACCCGAATTCGCCAAAATTGACTGACTGTATGTGGTACATGGCATGCAGCAATTGGAACTGTAACTGGAATGTTATGCACTATGCCAATTCAGAATATTCCAATTGGATTTAAGCTACAGGCGCCATCGCCAAGATGATGACATCTTTGCATGTCATGGATTTTTCCTTGGAATTGAAATTGAAATGGAAAGAAAACACATTGAAGGCGAGCAAGAAACGAAAATTTATACGCCACTTGTTCAAGCACAATTAATTTTAATTTAATGCCTAAGAGAATAAACAAGTGAAACAAGTGAAAAAATAAAAATAAAAATAAAAATAAAAAGCCTATATTAAGGTACAGATGTGTCCATGTCGAACCCTTATATGGGCGCATGCCAAAATTGTTTTGGGCTTTAACTTCTTGTCAGACAATGCACTTGCATGCATAATACATATGTATGTATGTATGTATGTACATATATATGTATATACATATATGGAGTCAAGACGTATAAAGGTTGCTGATTCACTGATGTAATCACGCTCCGTTTTTATATTATAGCACTAAATCATTTCAAGCAAAATGAAACTATTTAAATTATGAACAAGCTGTGACGACTTCTGTCGGATATTGAGCGCCATGAATGCTAAATGTTAAATGTTTGCTACGTGCCTTAATTGTACAGATAGTGACCATATGGCCAAAACCTTTTCTTTTCGGCCAGTAGCTTCGTGACTTCATGTAAAAACAACGCTAATTATTTTTCATATTAAGTCAAAGTGATTACTCAGTTAGCTTGAAGGCACGAATTCGTTGTGAAAATACCCTGTAAAAGACAAAATAAACATACTAACTTTGAAAATTGTGATAGAAATAGAATAAGAACGCTAAATCATTGTTCCATATGAGCATAGAAAGCAAATCGTCTGTTTTTCCTTCTCATTAAAAATAGGTAGTATCAATATCCAAAAATTTTGGGTGTGTTAGAACCAAAACACATGATTATCTTATCATTTAGATATCAATTTTAAGTGGATATCAGAAGTATCCATATACATAAGAAACAATTTTATAATCATTTTTAATAATTGTTATATATACCGCTGTTGTATACCCCGTTCAGACCCATTTACTGGGTGTGCATAATAAACATTTTAGTTTACAAGTAGAAGACACTAAACTACTTCATTTATATATATAAACCTGCATGTATCTTATCTAACTAGAAGTGTATTAGTCAAAAATTCCTGAGAATGTTATACATATACATTTATACATGTATACATATTATACACGACAAGAGTACGAGAAACCTGTTTGGTTATTAGTTTACCTAGGAATTAATATATTTGATATAGCTTCCCCTTTTGGGACTTTAAGTAGCATATAGTACACTGATCAAGTGCTATGCGTTGACTGATACACAACACAGTCCCATTGAGTCACAAGTATTCAGTTCGCTTGTTTGTGTCTGTTTAATCAGCGGATCTATAAATAAATTATGAAAACATTTGCAGGCAACAGACTTTTGCCAACATTTTTGGCAATAATTTATATGGTAGAAAGTGCGACCCTGAATTCAGTTATTTGTTATCGGATGGCACTTATCTGTCTAATCGCATTTTGTTCTTTGCAATTATGTCCGATACGAAAATGGACAAACACCGGCAATATCTATAGCGGAAGAAGAGAAGATAATTATGCAGTTGGTTTATAGCAAGAGAATCCAGTTATTGCCGAAACATGAAATGGCTAAACATACCACAGAAATACAAGGTTTGAGTCAAATCAGTGAACAGCAATCAGTTTAGCTTCTGATAAGAATTCAAGTTGAAGTCTCAATGATAACTAAATTTATGCGGGGATTAGAAAAATATTTATGATTATAGGTTGATAGTTTATAGGTGACTTGTGAGACGAAATTAGCAATCTGTAATGAGGTCTAAAGGAAACATATTTATATATCTCTTAAAGCCCCTACACTGCTACCGGATTTTCCCCTAACATTTTTATCCAAGGGTTTTTTTTCTTGGAAATATAAATCTAACAGTACTGTATAAAATTTGAATTGCAATGCGCAAAGTGGAGCACATATTACCAATCTCAAGTGAGGGTCCATGCAATCTATAACGTATCACACGTTAAACATTACACTGAATCAAATTATATCCATGAAAGCGAACCAACATAAAAATGCCTTAGGTTATATAATTAAATCTTCGCCTTCTTGAAATTTAATTTTTATATTGATTAGCCCGTTCAACAAGCCTTATCTGTCTGTAGCCATAATATTTAATGTACTTAAAAACCTTAATTGGCGCCTTAATTTCACACTCTTTAAGGCTCTCAAAATACCTAAAGCATTCCAAATACATGTCTGAGTTTCATAGGCTTGCACCTGTCCTTTCATCAGTTTGTATTTTGAGTAAACAAAAACCATTTTAGTTAACAATTACAGTTACACATTCTTTTTTGTTTTTTATTATTCATAGTCGTATTTTCTTTAAGGCTTACATATTAAAATATATGCTTAAGATTAGGTTCATCTATTTATTGGATTATGTTATCGATTTACTTGTTGCATTCTCATTCAACGCATTCCTAGTTTTTATTTTTTTTACTTTTTTTATTTTGTAAGTTATATGTTTGTTTGCTGTGTTTCTGATTTTATTATTTTCGTTTTTTTGTTTTTGTATATATTTTTACAGTTTGATAATAAATTTGTTTGTTTGATTTTGYCACAAAAAGCGTGCATTGATTGATGGAATCTGCAACAGCGAAGGTGAGTTTGTGTGGGTGTGTGTCTATGTACTAATTATTATTAAATTTTTTTTTTTTTTTCATTTTGCGTTAATTGTGTGTGTGTCTATAAATTTGTTATACAACTAATATTTTACTTATAGCTATATTTATGTACTCATGTATTCCTTCTTGTTAATATTATTTCTTTCTGTTATGTTTCTTTTTATTTGTAATCTACTTTTATGTTGCTCTGTTGTATTTATATCAGTTATATAGTATTATTTAGTTACTGTGCCAGGCACCATTGCCAACACTTTCGATAATTTCATCATACTTTTTATTTAATTCTGCTTTAGACCTGTTTTGCATTTACTTAAGTTCTAGTTGCATGTTATTATTATTCCATTCCATTCCATTTTCTGTATTTCTCTCTTTTATTTACAAGCTTTGCAAATTGTTTTTGTGTTGGACAAACGCCCACGACCACGCCCACAACAAACATGATCGAGACGCCAGAGTGCTGTTAGCTAATTTACGTATTACATTTAAATTAAAATTATTATTAAAATAATTGTTTTTGTTTGAATTTTTCGCGTTTAAATCTAAATTTAGTTGTAGTTTTTGTTTTGTTTGTTTGTTTGCTTAGTATTTATTTTCTGTTTGTTTTCTTATTCTTTCTTTTTATTATGTATACACAGTTTACATTTAGGCGATATATCTTAATGCATATGTTATACACCCATACATGTATATATATTTCTATATACATATGTGTGCATACATAAGTGTGTGTGGGTGTGTTGTGTGTTGG